GGAGCCCAGCTCCACCTCAGCGATTCCCAAACTGGAGCCTGCAGGAGAGCCAGAGTGCTGGCCCCCAGACTGGAGGTTCTCATCCGGTTGGCTGGGGTGCACCTAGCGACTGTGCATTTCTAACCAGTTCACAGGCCATGCTGATGTTGCTGGCCTGGGGATCACGCCAGAGAACCACTGCTCTGGCTGAGAAGTTGACTCTTCTTTCATTCTTCTTCCTCTCCCCCTTCTACTTAATTTGTTCTCTTTGATCTCAGTTCTGCTCTGTAAACAGTGCTCTGAGGGACAACTGAAGTCTGTACACAGTCCTGCTGTGTACTTATAATAATTTCTAGGACACACACTCACACCCAACTCTCTGGAATTGTTCTAGAACTCACCTGGCTGGAGTGACCTGGAATGGAACACCTTTGTCTAGAACTGAGCCTCCGGGATGACCCAGAGCCCACTGCCCCCAGTGCAGAATTTTGCCTGTTGACTGTTTCATGAAGTGGTTCCTTAAGACTCGGGGTTGGGGAGGTGGCGGGTGGTCTGTGGGACTTGCCTTTGTTTTCTCTTTGTGAGGGACATCTGCCTGCATGTCCCATGCTCATAGCAAGTGAAACTCACCAGACTGGCTGCTGGGACCTACCTCAGGGAGCTTCACTCGGCCTTCCTGGAAGGAGCAAGTCTTGGGGTCATGGGTGCAGACATGGCGGTATTTACACCAGTGGCAGCGGAACGGGCTCTCCACGCAAGACAGGCATCTGGGCAGAGAGAAGGAAGAGGCACAAATCAGAGAACCTGAGTGGACCCAAAGCAGAGGGCCTAAGACTCTTGGGTCTAGCAAAACATTTCTTAGTAGTAAGAGAGACTACCCTCGAACACTCAGGAAGAGCAAATCGTATGCAAATCCATCCCCTGTTTCTCCACGTCCTCAGCAATCCAAGAACCTCTGGCCTCCTCCCCTTCACTCAGCTGATTGACAACCCTGGTCACCAAAGGCCTCATCAACCCCCCTCCTTCTCCACAGGTTGGTGCCCTTTTCTGCTGAATCAAGGAACAATGAGGCCTAGAGTAGAGGGGCTGGTCCAGAGAGCCTGTGAGAGTTCGGCCAAACAAAGAAATTGGGTTTTAATTCAAATTGACTCCAGGGTCTTGGCTGACAAGGATGCACATGGACCCTCCCTGGCCAAGGAAGATCCCGAGGCTGCTCTCTCAATGGGATGGGCTCTTGCACAGTTGGCATCCCCACCTCTTTCACCCCCAGGAAACAAAGGCAGCTTCATAAGAGTTCCTGCCTGCTTAAATACCAAACATGGTTCCCTCTTCCCAAGGGTAAACCCCAAATGCCTTGCCATACAGGCTAAGCCCTTCCTGGTGTCCAGGTCCATGTCCCCACATGTGTTTGGGGCTTCAGCCATGAACAGGCCATGTTATCCTCATGCCATCCTTCTACCTAGAGTACCAATGCTCCTTCCTGCACTTGGCCATCTCCTCTTCCTTCTCTGACCAATGCAGAGTTGGTCACATCGGGCCTTGATCCCAAGAATCCCTTTGCTTATGTCTCTGGGATAGTACTGATCTTGTATTATATTTCCCTTATTTACTGTCTAGTTCATCCTCTCGTCCATTAGGCCATGACTTCTGGAGGGCTGCGATTGAGTTTTTGCGTCTTATTAATTTTTGATTATCTGTCTAATGAGTAATACATGGCCTTGCTCATAAAATGCTGACGATCACTTTATGAGCTGAATGGAAAGTTCACATGTGATTTCACCTACTACTCTGCTTTCCTACAGGAGCAAAAGGGAAGTGAGGCATTGGGCCATGAGGCAGTACAGCCGTGGGAAGTTCAGCGGCAAGAAGCAGAAAGAGAATTGCAGTGTTTAAGCCCTTGTTTTTGGCTGGGAGGCCTGGCTGTCTCTTACGTGGGGCCCCAAAGAGAGCCAAGCACTGAACTCACAGCTGCCCGTAAGCAGAGAGCTAAACCCTAAAATTCCACCAGGCTCGAGTCCAAAAAGGCCTTGGGTTATGTTAACTAGCTTGCCCTGTATGGAGAGGAAAACAGAACAGCATATTGAAGCAAGCAGGGCTTTTGAGATCTGGTCCTATGGTTTTCAAATGGTGTTCTCTGGAACCCCAGGGCTCCATAGAGCTTCTCTGGAGGCTGTGTAAGGAGATAGATGAGTGGGGTTCCTAGACAGAGAGGTTCTAGTCCCCTTCAACCTTCAACCAGAGAAGCTCCTACTCTCTTCTATTTTGCACATTGTGCTTTCATGCCTAATTTTTGTTGGAGAAAAGGTTTTATGGTGAAGAAAATGGCTTGCACCTTCTCAATCTGGTCCAACCCCATCATTTTAGAGAGGAAATAATAATATAATAACAGCAAAAATGTGAGCAGTGCCCAAACAGTGGGCCAGACGTGGCTCTAACTGCTTTCCTAGTCACAGCTTTTCTAGCCCTGGCAGCTGTCCTGCGGGCCGAGCAGGGCTGATGGGCAGGGGCAGCCGCCAGCTGTGTCTCAGTCAGTGACCACTCACTCTACTGGGACAGTGCCCTTACCATGTCAGCTGTTAAATATTTCGGTGCCATCCCTGGAAGAAGGACTACCATCTCCCCATTTTCAGAGGACTGTGGGTCACAGAATAGTTAAGTTTGCAGCTGGTGACAGAGTGTGGGCCTCTGCCTTCTGTGACTGCCCTTGGGGAAGGGGACAGAGCTGGAACTAGAGCTGAAGCTGGACCCCCAGGCCAGAGCCCACCCAGTCAGCATCTTTCTGCCCTCCGCTGATCTTCCTCAGCCTGAGTCCTGACCCAGCCTGCAGGGAACAGTGCAGACCTGAGCATTCAGTGACTTGTTGGACCCCCTGTCCCTGCCTGGACACACATGGGTTTCTTTCCCTATTCAGACACCTCCTCACCAAGGGTGCTGGCTGTTCTGTTCTTCAGGTGAGATGCAATCCCCCCAACAGATGGTGGAAAGTGAATCTGGTTAGACAGATTTATGCCAGAGAAGATGTATGGGCTAGGGATTTGGACCTCCCAACTCCATAGGATCTCTCTGTTCCTTCTCTCCTCTTCCCATTAACCCCATGGGCACCAGAGGAGGGGGCTATCTATTTCTGGGGGTGAAGCAGGCCTACTGGAAGGGCCTCTAGATGGTAATGCCTTGTGAACAGTAGCAGGGTCTTCTATCTCTGGATGAACCTTGACTCCAGGCACAGGGAGCTGCATGAGGCTGGGGCACTTACGAATTGTGGACGCTGCAGTTGTAGAAGACGAATCTGGTGCTGGCAAAGGTCATGCCCGTCTCCTTTGACTTGAGCTGCAGCTGGACGACATGGTGGTCTCCTGCAGGGCAGAGCCAGCCAAGAGGCCAGGAGTAAGGTCAAGGCCCCGTGTTGGGGTCCAGCTGAGAGTCATGCACCCTGGGAAAGGGATGCCCACTGTACTTTCAGAGGGGATGCTCTCAGCTGTAACAGGTCTCAGAGCAGCTG